GTACACACATACACATAAAATAAAAATAAATAAAACTTTAAAAAAAAGAAATATATAGCTTTTCTAAATGAATAAGTAGGGACTACTCTGATTACATACAGTATATGCTTCTATAAGTTCAACACAGTATAGAAAAAGCAGAAAGGACTGTTTTAGCAGATAATTTTTTGTGTGTCTTTTTGAGACAAGGTTTTCCTGTAGCCCCAGCTGGCCTGGAACTCACTATGTAGACCAGACTGGCCTCCAACACACAGAGATCTGCCCACCTCTGCCTCCCAAATCCTGGGATTAAAGGCATGCGCCACCATGCCCAGAGATAATATTTTTTATTTCTTCTTTGAAAGTTTCATACAAGTCTATTTGAGAGAGAGAGAGAGTCCATTTCCACCCCATTACCCTCTCTCATCCACCCTTCCTCTGCTACTGAGGGCTTTCTCCTTCTCAAGAAGTCCCTCCAACTTCCATGTCATGTGTGTGTGTGTGTACATGTGTGTGTGTATGTGTGTGTGTGTGTGTGTCTGTGTGTGTGTGTGTGTGTGTGTGTGTGTGAGAGAGAGAGAGAGAGAGAGAGAGAGAAAAGGAGAAAGCCCACTTAATTTAATTTGGGTTGCTTGCATATTCATGGGCAGGAGGTTATTTACTGAGGTATGACCTATGTTTCAGTAGGTATATCACTAACAAAAATGAATATTTTTTATTCTGAAAAAATACTTATACAAAGGGGAAAGAGTGGCCCAGTTCAAGTATAAATACAAGGCAGTTTCAAATATTTCCATAAAACCTCTTCAACAGCAATTAACTCCCTTTTCTAAAATATAAAATAATTTGAGGATGGAGAGATTACTTAGTGATTGAGAGCACTGGCTGCATTTATGGAGGAATTGGGTTCAGTTCCCAGCACCCATGTGGTGTTTAACAACCATATGGAACTCCAGTTCCAGGGGATCTGACACCATTTTCTGACCTCTGTGGGAACTGCATTCATGTGATATACTTACATGCATGCAGGCAAAACATTCATATACATAAAGCAAAAGTAAATTTTAAAAAATGAAAAAATTTATTAATCTGCACTAAAGCAACATAAATAGTGTCTTTGTGGTTAGAAAAAAATGACTCACTCATCAAATAAAAGCAAGTGCACATATAAAAAATAAAATCAAGTGTGTACATATAATGCATTTTAAAAATAAAGCTGATCAATATATTTTATTAATTACATTTAATTAGATATTTAATTCAGAATAAAACTGTATTTCAGAAAAGAATTTAATTTAAACCTCAAATGATAAGCACTTAAAAGACATAAATCATACTTTGACAACAGCAGCATTCCTCACCATTTATCATTTGTGTGTAATGTCTTAGTGTAAAAGGAACCATTGATCTAATTGTTGAGCCAAGAAACATAATAATGTATCACTTGATTACAATATGCTCTGAAAACTTTTCGTTAGGTAGTTTCACTATTATACAACACAAGACTACATGCCCAGGGGTGGCACTACCCACAATGGACTGGGTCCTCCCACATCACTCAACAATCAAGAAAATGCATCATGGACATGCCCACAGACCAATCCAATAGAGGAAATTCCCCAACTGAGGCTCCCCAAGAGAGGTTCCCTCTCCCAAGGTGTGTCAAGTTTGCAACTAAAGCTACCCAGCACGCCCTAGAAACACTGCTTTTCTCTTATTTCCTACCATGCCTAAGACTATTTTAGAGTTCATTTTTTATTTTATGACTAGGAAGAGCAAGGTCCTGACTGCTAGAGATTGGGTGACATCTAGGCCATTTCACATACAACTTTGGTCTTAAGAGAGAACTCTGCCATGCAAAACAGACTAGATAACTACCAGTTCTGGTGTCTACAAGCATATAATTAATATCTAATTACCTCTGCACAGGATTTGGTTGCCTTTTATTTGTAATACATATGAGAGGTTTGCCTATTATAACATAAAAACAAGAAAATGGGAATTGGACTAATCTAACCTCTATTTTATCTCTCCTAATTATCTACATATCAAATTATTTTTAAGATTATGAATAGTAATTTGTAAAACTAAAGCAGTCTTCATTTTTAATATGCCTAATATTATGCCTAAACAGCATATTTTCTTTATCTCCCAAAAGAGTTTGGTTCATCTGCTATAATTCATTGTTAGGTGCTATTCAAACAACCAAAGAATGATTCAGCTTTTATTTTTTTAACTATTTATTTAATAACCACATAATTAAAAGAAGCATTTTATTACAACAGCATTGACATATTCAATAATAACTTCCAGAGCTAAGATGCATCTCTTTCAAAATTGGCTGTAAATTTTTAGGTTTACATTTGAATTAATACAGTTATACAATATTGCACTCAGTATAAACCGTATAAGACATAAAATTAAATGAGGTTTTAACCTCTAGAAAAGATCTCCATTTCATTATTAAAATCACAGTTTCATACAGAAAAAATCATTTTTAATGCAACTGACACTAAGATGTTTGCACATGCATTTCTAATCTCTATATATCTGATTATTACTAGTCACAGTCAGTTACTTTCTGAGCTCCTTGGCATCTGAGCATGGATATAAAGTCATCAGGTAGATTTCAATGGTAATGTTTTTCACATCTACTAATTATTAAGGAGCAATTTTTTATACTTTGATGAATTATTATTTTTTTAATTTTCAAAAAATTTAATAACCACATGATTAGAAGAAGCATTTCATTACAGCTTTAACATATTCAGTAACACACTCCAGAGCAAGGATACATCTCTTTCAAAAGTGGCTGTAAATTTTTAGGTTCCTAGTTGAATTAATATAGTTATATAATATTGAACTCAGGGTAAACCCTGTAAGATATAAAATTGAATGAGTTTTTACCCTTTAAAGAAGATCTCCATTTCATTTTAAAATATCCTGTTTCCTACATTTTTAAATATTAATTTTTGGAAGAACCACATGATTAGAAGCATTACATTACAGCATTAACATATTCAATAACAATTTCCAGAGCAAAGGTGCTTCTCTTTCAAAATTAGCTGTAAATTTTGAGGTTCACAGTTAAATTAATACAGTTATATATTATTGAAGTCAGTATAAGCCCTGTAAGACATAAAATTGAATGAGTTTTAACCTTTAAAAATATCTACATTTCATTTTAAAATATACTGTTACTTACAGAAAGACTCATTGTTTTTGCTAACACTGAGATGTTAGCACATGCGTCTCTAATCTCTATGTATCTGATTATTAGTGGTCATAGTTGGTTGCACTCGAATCCTTGGTACTTGTGTATGTCTACAAAGTCATCGGATAGGTTTCAGTGGTAATGTTTATCACCTCTACTAATTAACATGACATAATTTTTATGCTTCCTCCTCAAATATAATTCACTTTTAAAAATTTGTTGATTTTTTTGTGCGTGTATATCACACAGAACGTCCCAAACTTGTGTGTATGTATACCACACAGAACATCCCAAACCATCTTATTCAACTATACACCCACTTCCCAGATGGCACCCTCCCATAGCCTCCCTCCCCTCACAAGAGCCCTTATACTCTGTTATCCCCGCTACTGTCCGCTGACATCACCCCCAGCCGTTCCCCACTACTTGTCCATCTGGTGAATCTAGTCAGCCTATCTAGAGGTCTTTGTTTTAGGAGGGTCAGCTTCTCCTCATCTAGCAGAAATCAGTTGTCAATATTCCTTTAGATAAGATTGGGGTCTGCTGTTCATTTTCCCAGTTCTGTGCTGGGTTACTATCTGGGAGTCACTTGGGCCACCCTGGCCAATAACGCAAAAGAAAGTATCTCCTATCTGACTTTGTTGCTTGTTATGTAGCCTTTAGCTATACATATGGACTCTTAAAAAATTATATTCAAATGACCTTAAGAGTAAAAATAAATTGGTTTATCTGGGCCAACTCTATGGCCTTAAACACCCAAAAGGAAAGTATAACCAAAGATTAAAGGGGCCAATATGATTTAGCTTTTAAATGAGGTCTGAAGTATTCTCCCTTCTATTGAGACAAGGGGCTCCTTATTTATTTATTTTTATGTATATGTGTACATATTTATATAAGTTTATGTGTACCACATGTGTGCAGGGGCCTATGGAGGCATCAGATTCCCTGGAACTAGAGTTGTGTGGTGGTTGTGAGTTGCCATTTGTGTTCTGGGAACCAAACTCAGATCCTCTGCAAGTATAGTAAGTGCTCTTAACTGCTGAATCATCTGTCTAGCCCAAGACCCACTTTTAAATTTTTTATTATCACGCAATTTCCTCTTTTGTGTAGGGCAATGCCAGCATTTGTGAGCACTGGCAAAAAACAAAAGCTGCTTTTTCCCTTTCTATTTATTAAACAAATTTCCAAAAATGCTATAAAAACACTGAGGTTTAAGCTGGAAGACAGAGCTCACTTCTCACAGAGCTGTGAGAAATTCAATGACTTTTTTAAATCTGCAAAAAAGCTTATCAAATTGCCAGACATTTCTCTGACTTAGCAGACCACCATCATTCTGAACCAATTCAACTAATAAAAAACATGTAGTACTTGAACTCTTAAGCAGAGATGATCAAAAGGCAACGTTTTAAAAAGGAAAATGAGACTAGAAAGTGACTTTCTGAGTGAACTCTTCAGAAATCAGAAGAAATTTACTGTGCTACCATCATCATGGTGTAGTTCCTTCCCTGCTGGTTGTTTTACACTCGTGGATTTGAGTTGATGCTTTTGGGGTTGCCATAGGCTAGTGTTTCTCTTCAAGAAGAGAGAGTGAACCAAACTTTCATGTTACAGGGTAGTCTACAAGTGAGACCTGAATCATATTATCAAAAATGTTAAAATACAGGGGCTAGAGAGATGGCTCAGCTCTTAAGAGCACAGGCTGCTCTTGCAGAGGACCCAGATTCAATTCCCAGCACCCACATGGCTAACAACTGTCCATAACTCCAGTTTCAGGGGATCCGACACCCTCTTCTGACCTCCGCAGGCATTGTAGGACGTGGGTATACTTATATCATGCAGACAATACATTCATACACATAAAATAAAAATAATAAAATTTTTAAATGTTAAAATAAAGACAAATTCTCTTCATTGAAGAAGCTCAGTAATGGAAACCTAAAGCTAATCAAATCTCTAAGCCTTACATGTATTACAAATATCCAAGGAATTAAATAATAACACAGTAAACTACAAGAAAATGGTACAATATGAGATAATTTGTCCCTCACCCAAACCCCTCCAGGGTGCCTCCAGCCCACGATCAGCTTTCAGAACATGAGTAGTCATTGCCTTCTACAAGTCAAAAGAATTAGAGAAGGGCCTTTCGGAGGTCAGCCCAGAGCAGTGACTGCATCTCTCTTTTTCACTTTGCAGGTGACAGCTAAGTGCCAGTCCCACTTCAGATGAACTCATCGTGAAGGCAGAATATGTATCCTCATCTTGAGTCTGTCACTACCTTTGTGACCTTGAACAGATTAAAACAACTGTGAAATAAAGATTCTACCCAAATAAGGAAGGACTCTTTCTATAATAAGGATTCATGAGGATAAGAGGAGTCATTCTTAGAAAGTTCTACTTCAGAAAATTATCAATGTAACAAATGAAAAAAAATATTTTCCTCCACCATGTGGATTCAAGGGATTGAATTCAAGTCTTCATGTTTGGTGGTGAGTACTGTTAGCTGCTGAGCCATCTTTCTGGCCATATGCCTATGTATATCCACAACTCTATGTGAGTTGCAGTAATAAGTAGTTTTTCTACTGCTGAGATAGTAAATTACCACAAACTTGGTGGCCAAAATGAGTTTATTGCCTATTTTGCTTAGATCAAATGTCACATGGGTTTCTTAGAGCTAAAAACCAAGGTATCAGCATAGCTGTACTCCTTTCTGGAGAATCCAGGAGAGACTGTACTTATTTGCTTTTTCTAGTTTTTAAAGAACTCCTCATTCCTTACTTGACTCATGTTCCTCTCTTTGTACTGTCAAAGCTAACATCCTTGGGTTTCTTTGACATCTTCTGGTCCCTTCCTCCATTTTTCAAGACCTTGTGATCACATAGGGTCAACCCATATAATCCAGGATAATATCCTATTCTAGTGCCAGATGATTAGTGTCCCAAATAATTCCCCAGCCTACTACCAAACTCCAGGAAATATACTGTGGGAATAGTTGGGTGGCCATTAATCTGCTTAAAACAATATGTATGTTATGTTTTATGTATACATACAGCAGGACTAATATTTGTAAACATATACCTATATCTGCATTAAGGGGAGGCACATATCTGTATTCTCATGTGTTTCTATAACACAAAACTTAGACATTTCTTCTGCTAGAATTTTGTCTCCAGCAGAGTACAGTGTCTACAAGAACAACTTATATCCTTTTTCAGTTCAAAAGACTATAAAACCATATTTTCCTTCCCTTAGTTTCTGAGACACTCAAAACTAAATTTAAATCCCAGATATAATCACTGAATAATCCTAGGTAATCAATATATCTACTTACAATCTTTTAATTGAGAATGGCTCTATATTTGAATTATTGCTTACAATTGTACCATATTACATTTATTTCCTGCTGTGCAGTACTTCAATTTTATGGAAATAGAGTAAGTTATAAATTATAAACAATAGCTTATTGGAAACTCTGAGGGAAATCCCAGAAAGGCAAAATGATAGTGTTACATGTTTAGCTCCATGTTGCCCATGGCATTAAAAAAATAGTAAAATGCTGCAAATACAAAGTAATAAGACTCTGCATCCCTGAGAGGGGAAAGAATATTCACACTAGCTTTCCATTTTCCACAGTCTGAGCCCTGGGCCATTCCAAGAAAATCAAAATGTGATAATCCCAGTCAGATAGAATATCCAAAAGAAAGAAGAAAAGTTTCCAGGAAAATGGAGCCTGATGGCTGAATCCTCCCCCTATATGGAAAGCTTGGGTTTGCCGAACCGACCACTCCCTTGACACTCACCCTCTCCTAATACTTCAGCTCCGGAGCTCAGAGCCCCAGGGGTAAATTTCAGGACTTCAGATGAGCCACTGAGCATGAAGAACATTATGTGTATTGAAAGCTCCAGCCCGGGCTGGATACAAGCCCAGTAGCAGCCAACTCCCAGCCTGAAAAACAGCCCGCACTTCATTCCCGTTCACAGTGGTGAGCCTCACTAATTCAACCTCACCTAGGAAAGTATTTCACAGGGCACAGACCTGGATACCACGTTGCAGAGTGGGACTGCAGGCCCTGCTGGCCTCTCCGGCATGCAGGTAATGCTGTTCCTCCACAGTGATCTCAACAGGCCCTTGCAAGAGAACGTTCTGTCGCGTTCTTTACTTTCTCCTTACAACGTGTCCAGCGATGTGGTGATTCTGCAGGAAGGCATGCCCCTCACCTCATCGCACACGGGCACCTCAGTAGTAAACTATCCAGCCTCTGGAACCACGAGCTCAATAAGCTCTTCTGTATAAATGGAAAAAGAAAAGGGAAAGCTCATACACAGGATAGGCCACATATACAAAGAAAAGCTCTGATGATCCTACTGCCTTCCCTGAGAGACCTGTCAGTTCAAGGAAAATATTTCCCTCCAAACTTAAGATAGAGAATTAAGCTTGAAACCTAGCACCAAGATCTGCCAGTATGTGATCTTGGGCAAGTCACAGGTCGCAGAACCTATGTAACCTCACCTCTAAAATAGGGATAATAATTGTGCCTATCTGGTAGATTTGTGATGAGGACAAAATGTTATGCTACATGCAAACTGTTTAGCATACTCTGGAGTAGTAAGTGGCCCATTAGCTGTACTCATGGATGAAAACTAATACTGTCTTATCTGATATGCAAAAAATACACTGTGTACTGAATAGTTTAATAAAATCTGTTTGTTTGCATTCTTAAAACACTGTACAGGGATCAGTGAGATGGCTCAGCAGGTAAAGGCACTTGGCACCAAGCCTGACCACCTGAGTTTGATGGAAGGAGAAAACTAACTTCCACAAATTATCTCAAGTGCCACACATATTCT